AACACATTCGCACGTCGATTTTCGCTTACTGCGGCTGGACGGTTGTTTTAACATCATCATATTTCTCACGCTATAATTTGAATGTAACTTCTTATTGGAGTTAAAACAACACCAGATTTTGTTGTTCCTTTTAATTGTTTGATGTTGTTTTAACATTATTTACGTGTTGTTCTGATAACAAATATTACATGTTTCTACTACTAAAAATAGTTAAAGGAACACCCTATTGAAGGTTGGAAGAGACCCTATATTTAATGTTTATTCTTACAAATAAACAAGTTGAATCAACTTATCTACTTTTGAATTTAACTGTCATAAACAAGTGAAGTTAACAACAACCGATCTTAAAATATTGTAATTATTTAAAAAAAAAAAGTGACAAGAATTTTTCTCATCCATCCAGTTTCGAACCCGCGACTATTAACCTATCTGTCGATTTTCCTACCTAATTCCTACGCGTTAAACCATTAGACTACCTACCGGGAGTGATTATATCACGATAAAATACACTATTTAAACAAGTCGTTATAATATTATAGAATTAGGTGTTTACTATTTTCAATCATATTTGTGATAATTATTTAAAAAAAATAAAAAAATAGTAAATATAAGAACTAAGTAGTAAGTAAAGTATAGGTACACAATCTACCTACCTCATAGATATTTAGCCTTATTTTTTTTGAGGAGTGAAAAAACTATTAGACCAGGCGTGCCTATAGCCTAACCTTTTTCAACTTTATATAAATTAATATCAACATTGTTAATAGTTAAATTATGTCATGCTATTTTTATCACAACCGTAAAAATAATAATAATGTTTGAGTGTGTTTGTAGTCAAAATAACTCCATTGCCGTGTTATCACAATAACATTTAGCGGTCAAATTTACAATTATATTTTGACTTAACCCAAATCAAATTTTAATTGGTAACAACTTTACAAATATATTACATTGACCACAGTACCTACTATTTCAACTTAAAACTAAAATATATGAAAATAACTGCATACAATTGTTAGTTTAATATATATTATTACGTTTGATGTACGATTCTTAGAATAACAAGTTACAATTGTTAAGTTAAGACAATACTGGGACCATCTAAATACTAGTATATTCTTAAAACAACAGAAATATTAGTGCTAAAACAAACTTAATACAACTTTAAAATTAACTATTTCAACATTTTTTAAATGAGACCTATTAATTTTAATCGAAGCATAAATAAATTACGAGACGACAACGAAGTATTTTAACTTTACTATTTACAATTTGTTGCTTTAGAATGTTTAATGCTCAACACTTGATAGTTAAATCAAGGTTCCATTAAGGTTTCACTTAACAACAAAACCGATTAAACCGAGTTTCTAGTATGTGACATCAGAGTTAGGAGTTAATTTAACTACCCCATTTTTATGTGTGTAGGCTTTTTAATATATTTTAATTTTAAAGCGAGTTATGTGTATTTTAAGATGTTCAAACAATTTACAGTTTTAAAATACTCATAACTCGGGTAAAAATTAAAATATAATAAAAAGCCTATGAGGTTGTTTAGAAAATAATCTTACCTTTAGATTTTATAAGAGGTCAATTCGGTCTAAATGTCAAACTAATGGAGCTACACGTGTTCTGCTAAGCGTAAAATTTGCTATGTTACGCACTTGTAAGACGGAGAAAACACATGCGGGTATCACGTCCTCTTAAGATATGAAATGTGAATAAAAATAAATATAGTTTAATACCTTAGTATTTGTTACAAATACTTGACAAATATTTTATTATATTTGTATGAATCAAATATTTTTCATATTCATTAATTGTGTGGTCTAAACGTTGTTTGTCAGCTATAAGGCCATTTTATTGATACGCCCTTTAGATGCTGATCTCATTTTTGTGCAAGTCTCTTCTATTATGTTTGTTTCAGAACTGATATATTGATATAGGTAACCAAATGAATAGAAAGGTGTGAACTATGAAACTGCGCATTTTAATATGTTCTATGGAAACATTGGAAACTCTCTGATCCATTGATTATACATAGTTAATGGTTGTACTAACAATAATAAAATAATATTAGAAAACAAGTTAGGTTTTAGTTATTACACCCTGTGTATAGTTATTATAGTATTACCGAGGATTTTCTGATGGCTCTTGAGGCCAAATTTTTGGTGGAAATATACAATCATCTTCTACGTACGTATACGTATTACATATATGTAATATATAATCAGAAAATAAGCATCCTATATCTATATTTTGACATATAGATACAAGTTCAACGAATGCATTTTCGATCTCATGTGGTGGTAGGAATGGCAACCCGAAAAATAGTTTTAACCAATTTCCTAATACGCCGTCGTTTGTATATGCTGCTCGGAGTTGCTGATCAGAATTTATCTGTTAAGTTAATACGTTTAAATTTATAATTTTATTGTATTATGTGTATATTTATAATATATTTTAAGCATAATAAATTACTTTCCGCCACCAACACTGCACTAAATGAAATCGACATGCTTGAATTTATCTTATGATACAACCAGGCCTGTATTTAGGGGAGGGCCAGGGTGGGCCATTGCCTCTCCTGGCGGAACTTGGGGGGGGGGGGGGGGTAAATTTTCACGAATTTTGTTTATGTATTAAGCTAACATATGGTTATAATTTTGAAATTATATAAAATATTTTTTTCCTTATGTATTGTGTGGTTTGGTGAAGATTTCAAAACATTTGCTATGAAACGGGCAAGAAGAAAAAATTGTTATCATTGTATCTATTTTAGTTTTTTATTGCAGTTTCAAACAAATAATATCATGCATATATTATGATTATATATTATACCTACTTATACTTTCTCTATAATATAATAATTAATAATAAATGTGTAATGTGTTTAAAATTGTTAATAAAAATTAATATTAATAATATAATATAAAATTAAATTAGTAAGCGTGGTGCATGGCGCCATGGTAAACCGCAACGTTATGCAAATGCGTAAAACAGAAAATCGAAAGTTTTGGAAGGACATAACTTATAAAAGAATGATTTGAATTTTCTTCTTGCACATTCGTTCTTAACTCATATTAAATACATGTTTAAAAAGGTGGGTAAGTGGATGTCGCTCTGCTGTACAGTAGGTTACAAGTGGGTCACTGTTTAATGGATGGTAAATTTGAATTCAATGATATAATATCATTGTATACGAAAAACGATTCTGAGCTGGGACGGGTTGTCATGTGGGATATTTGATATTATATTTAAATTTGTTATTACTTATTACAAATACGGTAGCCGGTGAGTTCAATTGATATTATTATAAAATTACAACAAATAATAACTAAAATCGTTTTTCTTGGTTATTTTATATGTAATTTCGTCCAAATATGAACATAAAATAACTATAAAAAAAACTGTGTGTTTATACATTTTTTTTAACACTGGACATCCACATATTCCACCAAAAGGAGGGGCGGAATTTAATTAGTGCCCCGGGGCACATCATTTCTAAATACCGACGGCCCTGGATACAACAAAAACTTATCTAATAGGTAAGTTAAGTACCTACCTATATAGCCGGGAAAATATAATCATCTGTTTTATGTTTGGACCCTTACTTATATTTAAGTGAGACGTACGTAAAACGCTATAACTAAGTCAAATAGTCAAATACCTAACCTTATGAAAATCTGGCAACATTGCGCTAAACTCTTGGGTACAAAACGTACGGAATCGACAGGAATCGTGTGTCTTAAAATGTGTACGATTCCGTACGCTGATAAGGGCCGTACGGAATCGTATTCTACCCACGTGCAAGGCCCCTTAAGTTCAAATTTGGACGAATTACATAACATTTAAACATATAAAAACGATTTTAGTTAGATATTTTGTGGTAATTTAAAATTATTATTCACGTGTACCTACTCGAAACTCGACTGTGGTATAATCAATGCTGTTATATTACTACTATTGTATTCATATAATATCTATGCGTGCGCCAAATGCCAATGCTCTCCATTGCTCGGGGAATGGGAACAAATTTCAACAAAATACAAATCAACAAACTACAAAGCAGGGAAAAAATATTTATTGGAATATATTATTTTTGGAACAAATGGTTTATTCCGAAATTGTCACTTGTACATTTGTTCCAATGAACTTTTTTGCAAGCCATATATTCTGTTCCGATATATTTTGTCAAAATCCAATAAGCATTTATTCCAATGATATTTGTTCCAAAGGATTTATGCTACAAAAACATTTGTTCCAATGTTCTCTTTATCAAATTACATTTGTTCCAATGGATATTTGTTCCAATAAGTTTTTGGAACAAAAGTTTTTGGAACAAATGTCTATTGGAACGAATAATTGTGGAACATGTAATACAGTCCCGAGGGATTTATATTATTTTGTCAGCATACCCGTGACAACAGACCTTTTATGGGGGTACCACAGAATAGATGAAATCTATTTCATCTATTCTGTGGGGGTACAATGACTGATCCGCAACGACGAGTACAAAGTTAGGAACGCCGGCCGAGGGCGAACCGGACGTCTCTTCTAGCCGGTTCGATTTGTTTATTTATTTTATTATCAGTGATACATATCCACATTGATAACAAAAATACGCGTTTAATTGACTGATAATAATAATAATAATAATAATCATTATTATTATTATATCAGCTACGGCGAATTCCTACACGACTCGTGGAAAATCTGTGAGGGCCCGTATCGCCTTGATTCGCTTGCCGCGAACAATTGTCTTATTGTAAAGAATCGTCGTGCTCGTGTCCATCACCCGTGGATTAGAAAAAGTTATGTTTGAGTAACGCTGGTCGTCGTCTTAAGTGCACGTATGATGGTTTTGCGTTTTACCATACAAGGTAATTCTAGTTTCGACATTGTGCTAATGTCACCGCCGTCGGGTTCGATTTTACTCATTTTATTTATTTTTTCTTCTCATGAACGCTCCACAGGAGAAACACTATTGAGTAAATATTATTATGACGGACAGTCAAATGGTAATTGTGAACACGGAACGCGATGTGGAACGCACCCGAAACAGTTCAGCGACAGAGGCTTCGAGCACGGCTAGTGACTCGCCTACGCCCACCAACAGTGTCCAGGATAAGAATTGGGTTCATTGGCACGGACCAAGTAATGAACTATTTACTTAGTTAAATACATAATATTATACAGTTTATCTATTTTTAAATTATTTAATATCTACCTGTTGAGCACTAATAAGACATTTTTAAATTGAAATAGGTTAGTTAATAGGTAGAAACTAAATACTAGTACTAGTATCTAGTATGTTATTAATATAACTCAAAAGCAAAGTATTTTATTTATTATGATTGTCATAAATAAAAAATATAAATTTGAGATTTATTTTATAAGTATACTATGATTTTTATTTTTTACCAGCTGATCCCGTTAACTTTGTTGCCCATCAAAAATTCCTACTCTATATGAAATATGAATAATATTATGTTTTATTTAATAATAGAACGGTTAAAATATACTAAGTTATATTGTTACAACAATATTCACTTTAATCTGTATCATATTAATGTATTTTTATTGTTAAGTAATTATTATTATAATAGCTTTAAAATCCATGGCAACCATTTATAAACAAAAATTTCCATCAGAAATCTCAAAATCCTTGTTTGAGCACCTTCTGGAGTTGGTCCTCGCCCTTTTTAAATTAGCCTATCTTCTGCCCAGGGGTCTAATTTATCTCTGTACCAAATTTCATCAACATCGGTCCAACCGTTTAGGAATGCATGAAGGACACACACACACAGACAGACAAATAAACATTAATATTTATATATACAAAAGATTTTACATTATTATTTAGATTCTGATTAAAAATCATAGTTGTGCAAGGAAAATCAAAAAGTTAATATTTGGTATAATGATTAATATTGGATGTTTTTGCATGATGGAATCACATCATAATTGTACTTCAAAACCTATTGCTATACATTGTCTGTATAACAAATAAAATTTGAATATCTATTTTCTAGCATGGGGTGATGAACAGCGACAGTTATTGGGTACTGAAGAGGAAGCAGATTCATCCGACTGTGAAACAGTTTCATCTGCAAATGGGATTGGAATTTGGAGTATGAATGAGGAACAGAGTAAATATTATGAAGAACAATTTGCATCATTGCAGCCTAATCCAAAATCTTTACTGACTGGATCAATAGCCCGATCATTTTTTGAAAAATCTCGTTTGCCATTACATGAACTTAAAGAAATATGGTATATTTGTTTAAAACTTTTACTATGGCTTTTTTTATTTTAACTTTTTTTAGGCAATTGTCTGATGTAACCAAAGATGGAGCACTTTCATTAGCTGAATTCAAACTGGCCATGCATTTAGTTGTTCTTAGACGCAACAATATTACTCTTCCTAAGAAACTACCGCCATCATTAGTGCCACCAGCTATGTCACCAGTTCAGATTAATACTAAAAATAATACTATTGTATCACCAACTTGCAGTATTAAAAGCAAAGAAGTAAACCCTTATTAAAATGGTTCGCTTATATGTTTAAACATTTTGTTCAATTTTTTATAGTGGACAAAGTTTATTGATTCTCCAACTAGTTCATTATCATCACCTGGACCAAAGCCAGTAAATTTTGATTTTCAAAAGTCTTCTGTTGAACAAGTATGTCATTGTCACATTTTAATTATATATTATAGTAGTATGCTTAATTGTTTAATTGGTTTTGTTATTGAAGTAAAACATTAATTAGTTTCATTTAATTATTTCCATTTTTTTATTTTTTGTTTTTTAGAGTTGTGAGCATAAATTATAAAAGTGGGTCAAAGCATTAGTGTTCAGTTTGAAATGGTTTCCGAGCTCATTTAAATATTGAAATTATATTAAATTTGAATAAACAAAACAAAAAATAAAAACTAATAATTGAAAGAGTTTCTTTGTTAAATTATTTTGTATTATTTACTGATGAGGTGGATACTTAGTTTTTTTTTTAAATAAATTTGTTCTAAACTAAATATTTTAATGACAGAATAATTTTCCTTATAATTGCTAATGATTAAAAAATTGTATAGTTATGTATTTTAAATGTCAACTATACTGAATCTTGACTAGGCCCACCTTAATTAATCATAGGAATTATATCACATATTTATATGTTAACATACATAATTTTCTTATACAGGGCCTCTACACTTGAGTATTTTTTTTCCAAAACAACTCATTCTGAATTCAACCATACCTATTAAGCGTGAATTTTGACAATGATTTTGAAAAAAGATATAGATTTTTCAATATACTTAAACCTTATTATGTATCATATAGATACGAGTATTATATGGATTTCGTTAATTTTAATTTCCAAAATCTATTATTTTAAATTTACAAGTTAATAAAGTATTAATTTTTAAAAAAATGGTATTCATTCCACACTGTATACAGATAGTTTTTTTGCTTATGATTTTATTTATTTTTCCAATTCTAATGTCTTTTAGGAAATCACATAATTTGAAATACAAATTATAATTTTAGATCAGTTGTATGTAAGAAATTTGTTTAACTTGTTTCTTTTATGCACAACATTTAGGATCCAAAGATCTTACATCCGGTTGCTGTTCGAGTTACACCTGGTATTGATAACTGTTTGGAAGACCAAGAAAAGGAAACACTGTCAAATAATGTTGAAGAAATGGTTTTAATTAAATCAATTCAGAGGCCTCAAGCTAAAAAGCTTAGCAGCCGTATGTATTTTTAAGTAGTTAAGTTGTATAATTCATTTTAGTTAATGTAATATTTAAATATTATTAATTATAACAATGCAAATAGAATACTAAAAATAAAATATTAATTTCATACTTTATAAATTATTTATTTTTAGATATAGGACCTGGTGCTCTACCGCCACCACCTTTACCAACATATTATGGTGAAGATATGTAAGTTAAACATATTTTTAATATTATTATTTGCTTGCATATTTAATGGAATATTGCCGACCAGGGATCCGTATATTTTAGTCGATAGGTGAAATAAGATTTCATCTATCGTTACCCAGGTGCACTGCGAGAAAGCGCACCCCAAACCAGAAAAACCTAAAACCGTCCTCAAAGCTATCGACCCATTGCACTAGTTAGCAGGTGCAGATCCAGCCTATATTAACGGGAGGGGCGAATTATAAATATCTAAATATATTTACTATTTACCTACTGGTAAATACGAGTATATATATATATTATAAATATGCAATAATTGCTTATTAATTATAATGAATATTTTTTTTTCTTAAGCTGAATTGAATTATTTACAACTTAAAATTTCCGTCGCCTGGCAGTCAACAGTCGTCGTCCCTCAATCAGTCATAGTATTGTTATCAACAATTTATAAATGTGTGTTTTTAAAATAAAATACGACAATTTGTGACTGAATAATATTACATAGGATAACACAAAATATTAAATTTAAATAATACGGCCAACTGGGGGGGGGGCGTAACCCCTACCGCCCCCGACTTGATCCGTGCCTGCTACTTAGTGTTAGCTACAAACTCCTATAAAGATTGATCTACAATTGCATAAGTCCAATTATTGATCAAATGGTCCCCAAACAACAAGATGGATTTAGACCAAATTGAAGCTGCACAGATCAATTAGCAGCATTAACTTCATGTATAGAAAACGGATATCAAAATAATCTAAAAACTACAGCTGTGTTAGTCGATCTCTCAGCTGCATATGATAGGGTACGAGAATGGGTATCCTTACAAAATTCTTGGAACTATTGTATTGTCTTACACTATACCTATACATTAATGAAAAAATGCTCAGTAATCATGTTTACAGTACATCTAAGAGAAACACATAGTAAATCAAGATGGCTGAACGACAAGCTACCTCAGGGGTCAGTTCTCACACCAATCTTGTTCAATCTTTATACTAGTCAGCTACCAAATACAATTTTGCTGAAACTTATCTACTCTGATGATATTAGAGATCAAAAACCTACTTAATATGTTTTTTAATTTTAAATTTTAACGTTTTATATAACCAATTTTATAGCAGCTCATATTATAATATACCATACGATAATCATAATTTATAATAATTGACTAATGTTTTATAAATTGAAATGTATTGATATTTTGTTTATCCAAAATATTTCTCTATAGGAATTCAGGACCTGCAAGTTTACCTGTGGTAATAGCAAAAAAAGAACCTCCACCTCCACCACCACCACGGCCATATCGTGCTCACATGCGTAGTTCCTCTCTCGATCTCAATAAACTTGGTAATTTACTTTTGTACGGTGATCAATACATTTTATTTTTATTGTTTATTATTTAAAATTTATATTCTAGGCAAATTTGGGGCTGTTAATTCAACTCAAGGACCTCCAGTTGTGCCTCCAAGAATAACTCCTAGTCCAGTAAATAGTATATTCCAAGTATCTAATATAAATACATAAAAAGTTATTTATATTTTAGAATTCAAATGTTGAAATTAATGGGTTGAGACAAAATTGTGAGAGAACTGAATCTGGTCAATTTGCTGATTTTGCACAGTGTCCTGGTGCTTTTCAAGTTTACAAAAAACCACGTAAATTCAACACAATATTAATATATTTGTACAAGATAATTCTTCCAACATAATATATTATAATCATTTTATTGTGAAATAACAGTTTATATTTTGTGGTAATATAATTGACTATAAAATAGCAATCTTAATAGTTTCAGAAACTCAAAGTAATGAAAACTCATCTACAACTGGTTCAGAAATACATGGTATGCAGCCATTAGAGTCATCTTCGTCTAGCAAGTAATTAATAGATGAAATAACCTAACTAGTTATAAGTATACAACTGTTAAATAAATAAAAAATATAATATATTTTTCATACACATTAGATTAGAAGAAAGGAATGCTCATTTACGTCTAGTCTATCAAGAGTTACAAAAACAATTGAATGATTTACGCGAAGAACGCGTTGGTTTACAATTGCTCTTGGATACCGTTCATAAGTCATCTCCACCCTCATTTTAACCATTTGTTGATATGAAAATGCTTTGGACTTATACTATCAACAGATAATACACTTCATCATCATTAAAATTTATTAATATTATTATTATTAACAATGATGTTGATGAACCCATTTTCACTATAAGTTTTAATTATCACAAAATATTGTTAATATTAATAATATAACCTATTTATTTATATTTATTATCATACTTATCTGTTTGGTTTAATATTATAATTATTATTTAAATGTATTGTTACTTTTTTTTTGACCAAGCATCAATAGATACATCAAATATTAGATCATGTTTGTAAGTGTGAAATTTAAATTTTAAATTTTGATGTATTTACTGTTGAACTTCATATGTGATTATTATTATTTATTCATTATTGTATTTTACCTTTTGTCTACTGTAATATTGGTATAATTTAGTTATAGAAACATTAAGTAAATAATAATTATTAATTTAATGCCTCTGCGCTCCATTAATCAATTTAAGTACATAATATACATTTCATATTATTTTTTCATTTAATGAATTACATTTAGGAGTGCAGAGTAAAATAAAAATAAGAGATTCTTTTTTTTTTCAATTCTTGTTGTGCTAAAAAAAAAAAAAAAATAAGAATCTTTTATTATTGCTATATGATGAATGAACGTGTTATTTATTAATAAGAAGAATAAAGGCAGCTTCTCCATGCAGAATTCATTGATTCTTTTGAAAAAGTTTATTATATATCATATTATTTCAGAGTAATATATTTATAAATATGGTTTATCTATAAAATTGTTGTTTTATATAATATTTTTAAAAGGAGCACAAAACACAAAAAATTAGTTTTTAATTTTAAAGTATGTTCCATTTTAATAATAATGGTATAGGTTTAACGTTTTTACTCGCATTATTCAAAGAGTTATGAGGAATTGAAAAAAGACGCGTGACGTCATTGGGCTAAGCTCGCGGTAATTGCCAAATCATATGTGTGTAAATGTTACTCGCTTCATACAATAATTTACCTACCTTTAAAGTGTATTTTCTAATTTTTGTTGTAAGTATGTGTTGTGTTTTATGTACTAAAACGTTAATGGAAGTATGGTACCAACATTTTTTCTAAATTGTTAAGTTTTTTTTTTAAATATTTAAAATTTGTAGCAAAATAAATCGACGCTCAGCCAAGTTGAACTAAAAAGTATGTACGTAACGAAATTATCTCTTTTAGTACTTTTAATATTAAAAATAACCAAACGTTATATTGAAATGTTGATTCTGCTATCGTCTTTAGCTCAAATATAATATATTTCTACAGAAATCAAACCGTAAAGAAAAATGTTTATAGGTTGGTAAATCATTGTGGAAAATGACCAATTTTAAAACTCGTAAGATAGGCGATTATGCCTAGCTGGCTAGCCCAGCCCACTGACGTCACGTGGTTATTCTATATATATATCCCAATATTTCCTTAAATATTTTTTTTGAGATTGCATTTTGATAAAATGGTTTTTAGTAGTTCTGACTATAATAATTTGGTATTTAATAATAATCAAAATTTTTTTTTTTTGTTTTGTGCTCCTTTCCTAACATTTTTAGAAGAAACTATATATTATATAGTTGCAGAATACCCACACAGGCACAATCCACAGCACACAGTCAACAATATAATATATTTTCAAAATTATTATGTATAACGTAAAATAAGTCCAAACACAGTTTCATTAAAAAACTTATAAATAATTTGTCCAAACCTCATTATAGGTCTAGTGACTAGTACTCTAGTGTGTATTAGTTTATCTTACTTTCGTAGTTTCGTTTGAATTTCAGTATGAATTACTTATTACTATAGGAGTTACGATGAACCTGGAATAATATTTTGAAACTGACTAGGCGATAACATTTTTATCAATATTTATACAAGATACTATAAATAAAATAAAAATGTCAAATGTCGAAAAATATCTCAAAAATATTCAATACATTTATGACATTTTGAATTTTGAACGTTTTGAGTTTCTACAATAAACACTTGTTGATTTTCAACAAAAAGCTATACAATTGTTTGATAAGATACCTATATAGCCATATAGGTAATTATTTTACATGGGCGTCGAGAATAATACAATTTATCAAAATAGTTCAAAATCAGAGTTCAGATGCTTAAAAAAGTATTTCTGAAATTATGCTCAACTTTTTTTTTATTCCAGTAAAACCAACTATGAGGAACCTTGTACAACACTTTTAAGCTTTTTGACAGAGCAAATTAATATTTAAAAAAAAAAATACCTAAAAAACAATTTAGTATTGACTATTGATAATTATTTCACAAATCTAAAAGTAGCTCAAACAGAGTTCAAATATTTTGAAAATATTTATAGAAAATGATAATTTAAACGTTTCAATTGTCTTAAGTTATTTTTTTTTGAAATACAATCAAACAAGAAAAATTATTTTGTCAAAAACTGATTTAGAGCAAAAGATCCGATTTATCCTATATAATAATTTTTAAGGTACCTAAATATTTATAAAAATATTTTAACCGTTCTTAAAAATTAAAATATCAGTATTCAGTATTATATAATTACCTATGTCATATCCATAGGCGTGCGCAGCCTCCGGTTTCAGGGGCAGCAAGAGATTAATTCGGCCCATTTTTCAAATTCCCCATTAAAACCAGCCCATAGTTTTACTTTTTTTACTATTGGATATCAAAATTAAAATTGTATTGGTTATTTGTTTTTTTGGATAAAAGGTTGTATAGTAAGGTACTAAGCCACTAAAGTTGTACTTTTCTACAAGCCTATATAAAATATTCATCTATAGTTTATCAAAACAAAATAAAATTTTTGTGGAAATATAATTTTACCGAGGCCCACTATTTAATATTTGCCGGCCCCGGTGGCCCCAAAGAAAGTCCAGGGGCAGCATATGCTGCCTCTGCTGCCCCCGTGCGCACGCCTATGGTCATATCCATGTTATGAACATTTTAGTTGTTTGTAGACCGCACCTTTGCTTAACTTGAGTAGAACGATTATGTTGGTGCACGCGAAACACGCCGGTCGCCGGTGCATGTATTACTTAATTTTATCAAAAGTCATCTGTACGCAGGGGCGCATTAAGGGGGGGGGGCAAAAGGGGCATTTGCCCCGGGCGGAAGTTTTTTGGGGGCGGTACATTTTTGTAATTTTTTTTTTTTTTTTGTATCTCAGAGTCAAAAAGAAAACATACAAATTGTATGACATAATGGAAAACTCGGGTTTAAGAAACAACTAATAATAATTAGAACTATCATACTAATGTACTATTAAACGTTATAAATTATGTCATAGTATGAGATGGGCATTTATATGCAAGTTTCAAACTAGCACCCTCAGTTTATTTCAGTATTTCACCAATCATTTATAAACTATCGTGGTTTATTGGTTCGGAATTTTTCTTTTCATTACAAATATTGACAACTGTTTACGAATTCACGAATTCATTTTTTTTTTGTCCGTCATCATCTTTTAGGGCAGTAAAAGTGCTTGGATTTTCTTCAACAGTATCTTTTCTGATAGGAAAGTGAATCTAGTTGGTACTTTGGGGGGGTCAAATTGTTATAAGCATTTAAATTCCAAATATTGACAAAATACGTGAAAATGACGAAAATTTTCAAATTATTTTGAGTTAGAAATTCATAAAAAATTTTCTTTTTAAATCTAAGATATGAAAATGTAATGCGAGATTCCTCATAAGTTTGTCTACCTTTATCAAAAAAAAAAATGTCTACAAGACTCTCAAATTAAATTTTTATGAACGTTTGAAATTCATATTTTTACAACATTTGATATTCACTCGATTTCTCGTGTAACGATTTTCTAATTTTGTTGTAATTAAAAAACGAATGACTGTAGATACTTGAAAATTTTACTAAATTTTTATATTAGCATTTCCTTTACACCATATAGTTTTGAAAATATTTTGATTCTTTTTGAGCTATTTACGGACATTTTCAGTTTTCAATATTTTAATTTTTTTTTCTATTCATATCAATAAAATTTTATTTGTATGGTAAAAAAGCTTGAAAATTTAATGCAAACCTCCTGATATATTGTTACAATAACACTTGAAAAATATTAAAAATACATAGGCACAATTTTTTTTAATAATTATTTAAAATTCAAATTTTGACAAAATTAATCACATTTAAAATTTAATAATAATTTTATAGTTAAAAATTTATAAAATGTTCAACTTTTATAGCTAATGATTGAAAATTTAAAACAAGATTCTACGTAAATAGGTTATATATAAATTGCTTTATTCACCTTAGTATCATCAAATATACTTAGTAAAATCATAGGCTGACTAACCGTCTTCGCTCAGAATCGTTTTTCTTATACAATGATGTTAGTATATCATTGAATTCAAATTTAATACCATCGATTATACAGGGACCCACTTGTACCCTACTGTACAGCAGAGCACCTTTTTTTGTTTATCAAACTTAAATAACTTTTATTTTGATTTTGATATCGGAAATATAAAAACAAAGTTACAGAGTAAATTTTCTCATTTTTATAGTGTGAACATTTAGTTTCTTAGCTTAGAGTAGAGCCTGAATGTTTTTTATACCCGTGCAAAACAGTTTTGCCTATGTTGTACCTGTATCTGTAATACGGAGACAACACATGTGGGTGTACCTAGCGTACCTAGCGTCTTCTTTACAATCATACAGACTATTTGATACATTGCACTTTAGAAATTATTGTATACACTATACAAATTAAATCTAATGCAATGCAGAAATATTATGATTAGGAGGTGTGAACCATAAATTATCCCAGCACCCCCTGAATTCAAACCCAATGTGCGCCTATGGCTGTCAATAGAAAATGAGATGATTAGAAGTATTGATTGGTCAAGTATTATAAAAGAGTTTGTGAACAAAAAAATAAGAAAATATTTTAATTAGTATTGTTCCATATTTGTCATTTAAATAGTTTTATAATATATAATAATATTTTATTGTTAATAAAGAATAAAGATATATTTATTATTATAAGTCAATGCTTAATACATAGGTACTCCATAAATAACTTAAAATATAGGAGTTGCTTACTAGGAGGTATTTATTAGTTAATGAAATATAAACATTTTACATAATAAATATTCCAATTACCAGTACTATTTTAAAAGAAAGGATTATTATTCCAAGTTCCAACTAGATATTTAGTAATTAATTTAATAAGATATCTATGAAGGTATAATAACTGTATGAAATGTAAGGTACTAACTTAATTTTTCGAGCGCAGCGAGGAAATTTTTTTTAAGTTTTTTATACTTTCATTAATATTCATAAAATACACCAGGGGCGCAAAATAATTTTGCCCCCCATATGTGAACCCTTAATGCGCCCCTGTCTGTACGGTACCTACTGTATTATCATTCTGTATTTCTGTCTAAATTAATAAGGCACAGAAAGAATTATCAGTTTCGAATGCTTCGACAGTGGTCTATAGTTATACAGCAACACAGAATTGAGAATACCACTGATTAGATATCTTAATTCCGTGCAGTTATTTTTAATACCATCATGGGCACATGCTTAGATCATATAGTATATAGTATGTACTACTATGTACTACTTGTATATGATCTAAGGGCACATGGCTATAATATCTACCTTTATTTATGAACAGGGTTGGGATTTTATAGCATTTTCATATTTCTTATGGGGTACTTAAGAAATAGCAGAGTAAGCTAAAAATGTATTTCATGATACACAGAACTCAAATTAAAAAGTTTGTTTTGCCTATTTTTGCATGTTTTGCAATTTTTTAGATTTTAGTGCTATTTTGGACTTTTTGACCTGTTTTTGAATCAAAATTGGTCAAACTTAATGAAATTAAATTTTAGTAAACTTGTTTTTACATAATTGTCAATCGAATTGTCTGAGTAAATATTATACATATAAACATATTAAGTAAATGGACCAATTATGTGGCCACGCTGAATGCTGATGCTATACGTGAGCAACGCCGTGCCGTTATTAATTTCGTATTATTTGGTTGTAATTTTAAACTTTTGTTATCTGCTGATTTTGTTGGGGTGAAAGTGTAAAACTATTAATTAATAGATTTCCTCTTTATTTTGCATATTTTATTATTTTTATTGCTTATTTTAATATCGTATTTAGTGGTATTTAATAATTTTTTTGGTGATAAATTATTAGTAAATAAATCCTTATTTGCATATTAAGCGATATTTAAGGTAATATTAGGTGCTTATTTATGCAATTTTAAGTGGTTTTAAACACCCAACCCTGTTTATGAATAACTTTGACAACCCCTCGGCCCTCACCTTGTGAATTAATTTGTAAAATGGCACATGAATGAAAACAATTTTTTTTGGTTCTTTCAGTACCTACCTATAATATGGTGTAACTTGAAAGTTGTTGAAATAATATTTGGGAAACCTTCATGGCTTGTGCCGTGTTTGCGGTAATTGGAACAACCATAGGAGCAAATATTGACTGTAAGTTTTTTGGGGTTACTCAAGCCCCCCTCCCCATTGGCCATATGCCCATATATTTACCACAGAATATAAAATTTAGTACTATAAAAAAAATAATTACTAGATATATTAACTGAGGGGATTTGACCGACATTTGGGGGTACTAAGTCCCCCCAGTCTCCCCTATTTGCGCCAATGGGAACAACTGGTTTCATAGATTCATACTTTTATCACAGATTATATTAAATATTTAAATCTATTTAATATTTTAATATTTTATAGGTATTCTTATTCTGTGCTTTCATCCAGCACTTCAACACTGTACTATCACAGATTATATAAAATAATATTATATAATCAGTGGACTGTGGTACCATCATAGAAATCTGCGATCAAGCATGTTTTGATGTTATCAATTCGGAGTGATAGTATTAAAATGAATAAATACTAGTATTATGTATTTATGTTTTAATATTATGTTTTGCTTTACATAATTGTTTCGTTCAAATCATACCTGAAGTGTTCAGCGCAATAGATCTTATGGTAGTAGGTAGTACAGTATTATTATTTAGTACTGACCTTTATACTAATCGATAATGCCTCATTAACATTATTTATGAACTTAATTGCGTACATATTTTGCAAATTCAATATTTATTATTTCTCACGAGAATTTGTTATAAATTGTAAATAATAATCCATTATAAACTATAATAGGTATATGTATTATTAAAGATTCTTATTATACTGATCGCTTTACTCCAAAAGTAATACTATTAACAAATTTTAAATACCTAAATGTTGTTTAAAAATTAATTTCATTTTCAGATATTTTATATAAGTTACGTGAAACATGGACATTTTAACAAATAGTTTTTCCAAATTTTGTTCATTGCCACCTACATGTATCGTTGGGGTGACTGCAGCTGTTGGTTTTATAAATTATTATTTTATGTTTGCAGTTAAGGTAAGAGTTAATCCATTTACTTGTTAATATCCATAATAATACAATTACATATTTTACATATTTTTTTGGGTACCTAGTGAAAAAAATTCATAAAATACAATTTTTTTTTATAATACCTATAACTTAACTCTTAAAATGAATCATATATTTCACATCTACATATTATGTATGGTTTATGTATGTTAATAAACAATAATACATGCAGTTTTAAAGTAATTTAGAATACTGCAAGTTAAAAAATAAAAGTAAACTAATCTGGAACAGTGGTTTCCAACTGACTACCGGCGGGTATGCAAAAGCAATTCAAGTGGTATATTAAAAAAAAACATTAAGATCTTTTTTTAATTTAATTTATTTAATTTTTTTTTATTCATACATCATATAGATACAATACATTAATTAATAATAAAAACTATTGTAAAATATATTTATTTATATTGGAGCCTGGATAGGCCCAACAAGTTACAGAGTTAAACTCAGTGGGCCACTTAAAATTAGGGCTGGCTTACTGACTTAATAATATATGACCGGAAATATTTGAACACCCCAAACTCTGAATAATGAAATATGAATAATAATAAATAATATTAGGTAAGTTTTATTGAATTATGGGTTGTTAGTTTTTTGAGGGCCAGTTAAAATCCTAACACTCAGTGTGCCGATACCGTGCCTATCTTGCTCTGTTTATAGCTTATTTTTTATTAAATCACCCTAATGTAGCTTTATAATTTTGTTGTAACGCCTATTGATAATATAATAATATAATATCAATAATTACTGACTTCTCAATGATAAAAAAGTGGGGAATCGCTGATCTAAGAATTTCATTAAATACATGACCGGCGACCGCTAAAATTAATCATTTTTTTATAATTATATATTAAATGATAAATAATAAAATATTATTCAGGCTCCCAGAATACACTGTAAAGAAGGTGAATTTAAAAATTTTATTCGTCAAAATGTTCCAATTATCAATGAAAAGTACTGGCCAACAATGTGGTGTTTTGAAGCTAGATTTCAAAGTGTATTAGCAAGTTTGATACGATCATTTGTAGTTCCTCCAGCACCATATACAAGGTACTCATATACAATACCTAATTATTAATAATAATTTTTTTTTTATATATATTTCAACAAATTAATTATTAATTTACTTATTATTAATTTTGTTTTAGAGAAATATTTAAGTTAAAGGATGGAGGTGAAGTGGCATTGGACTGGCTGGAACCAATGAAACGTCCTAATGATATGTATGATGCAACAATTTTGTTTTTGCCTGGATTAACAGGTGACAGTAAATGTGAGTATGTTCGAGCTACATCATTGGCCGTGCAAAAGTCTGGTTTCAGAATTGTTGTTTTCAATTATAGAGGAATTGGTGGCATTGAATTGAAGGTGACTAAATATTAATATATTTTTTACTATATTATATCAAAATAAGAATTGTATGATCACAAAGTTTTTTTTACTATTATATATTTAGATTGTAATTTTTTTTATCAAAAGTCAAATATTCTTTACTGTTATCTGCATAACTTGACTGTACATTAATATAATGGCATTGAATCATAAATGGAAACTATTTTTTTTCTGTTTGACTGATTGAGATATATTTAATTTTTTAGAGTTTTTGGAGGAGGCATAGTGTGCACTTTGCACCCCCTTAAAATTTTTATTAATAATAATTGGCCTAGCTGTAAATCAATATTTATCAGTATATTAGGTATATTTTATTATTTTTTAGCTGTGTAACCTAGTTTTGCTCGAGTCTAACTAATTTTTTTTCTTCTGTTTTCTACATTAATTTACACATAGTTTGCATGCATTTTTTATTCACTTAGTTATGTTAGTGCTTGAATTAGGAAACAATTAAAAAGGGATGCAAAGCACAAAAAAAATGTGCGTGAATATTTAAATATCTTGTTGATTAGAATACAGTTAGAAAGGGTGCATATAACTATTTTCTAAACAGAAGAGGAACTTTGTTCCCCCTCAATTCAAGCAGTGGTTATGTATAATGTAGTTATTCTAGGACAATTTTTATCAACTATGAAGTATTAACGTTGCAATTATACCTATCATCTTAAATAAATTAAATAAATTAAGAACTTATAAGTTATAACTTGTATATCTTAAAACCAATCTAAATTATGTTCATTAATCATTTGTAATTTTTGACACATTTTAATTTAGTTCTTTATATCTTTATTTTAGACTCCGAGAACTTATTCTGCTAACAATATTGACGATTTAACTGAAGTTGTTTGTCATATAAAAAGCAAGTATCCAAACACAATTTTAGGAGGAATTGGTGTGTCTATGGGTGGGTAAGTAATCTACTACTTGAAACTTATTTTTTATGTGTTAATAAATTATAGTTATTACTATTTTACTCAACAGACTTTTATTGGGAAGTTTTTTGCAATCTAATGAGCAACACGTTCACAAATATTTCTCTGCCACTATGTTAATTTCAGTTCCATGGAATTTAATTGCAACCACACAAAATATAGAAAAACCATATTTAAATCGTTTTCTTTGTACGTACTTAGCAAAATGTCTTTGTAATCTTGTTGAAAAGTACGTTTAAATATTTGTTAATTATATTTGATGACTTATTTATTATAATGAAGAATGTTTTATTTGAATGTTTTAGTAGTAGCAATATGTTAAGTTCATCAAGTCATAAATGGGATTATAATCAAGTCATTAAAGTATAATAATTTTGTATATAAGAAAAGATAGTTTTACTAAAAAAAAAAATGTTTTCAGAGTAAAACTATAAGAGAATTTGATTCAAATTATACTATCAAGTTATTTGAACATGAATCTGTTGATGAGTACTATAAATTAGCATCACTCCATGATAAATTGGATCGTATCAGAGTGCCTTGTTTGTGTTTGAATGCTGCTGACGATCCATTTTGTTTGGAATCTGGTAAATATTACTTAGTAAATAAAAAAAAGCTTGTAATGAAGTTAAGATAATATTGATTTATGTTTAGATCTGCCACTAGAAAGTGCTGATAGCATTGAAAATGTAGCCATTTTGGTTACAGTAAAAGGTGGGCATATTGGATTTTTAGAAGGTATTTGGCCATTTACTAATAACAATGAATTTATGTTTCGTATAATTGACCAATATTTTAGCTCAATATTTAAAAATAATAACTATAAAAAATATGATGGTTAGATTGTTATTTTTGTAATACATTTAGAGTTAAGTCTATTTACTACTTTAGATAAAATATATGATCAAATATTTTAATTTTTATAGTGTATACATACTTTTATTATATTGTAATGTATTTATTTTCTTTGCGGTGGTGTTCATTTTAGTTAAAAAATATATGTATAAATTAACTATATACTATGTATTTATTATTTTAAACTATAAATTAATCCTACTCATTATACAATTTTTTCATCGCATTAAATCAATAGGTTAACCTATGATAACAATATTATCGTAGACCAAACAGTTTCTGATTTACACAAGTGCAATGTGAATTATCATTATCTTCAATATAGAGGGTGATTGACATGATGCATTTCATAGATCTAATTTGATAAAGGATACTTATTATTGAAGGCATTAGGATATTTAAAAATGATTTCACTTGATTTGTTTAAATTTCATGATTTATGTTTGGGTAGTTAAATAAATAGTTGAGTTAAATGAAAATCCTATTTGAGATAATAGAAGCCTAAATTTTAAATTTTTATTATAATACTAGCTGATCCCGTGAACTTGGTTGCCCATTAAAAATGCCAACTGTATATGAATAATATGTTTTATTGTATAATATAACGGTTAAAATATACTAAGTAATATCGTTACAACAATATTCAATTTATTTTGTATCATGGTTTATGATGTATTTTTATTTGTGTTATCTAGAAAAATCTGACAATTCAAGTTTTTGATTGAACGCTATTTATTCTTATTTAAGTGTATTTGGATACACAATATTTTTGTTTATCCTTCTAGTGCGTACACAAATAGGTATATCAGGAGGTTTTCCAACGCGTGAGCAGGCCACGTACAGCTGTCCATTTTTTCCTTTTCATTTTTAAAGAAAATATTACTTTTTCTGTTCTTTCAGTGATAACAAAAATGCCTTGGAATAATAATAATAATTAAAAAAAATTAAATAAAAAATAAATATTATTAAAACTAATAACAACCATTTTACAAACAAACATTTCTATCGTAAATATCAAAATCCCTGTTATTTCCTCTCCGGGTCGGACCTCTAATTTACTCTTTTTAAATTAGCCTATCATCTTCCCAGAGGTCTAATCTATCTCTATCTATCTATGTACCAAATGTAATCGCAATCGGATGAACAGTTTAGGAATGAATCAAGGACACACACGCGCAAATAATTTATATATATATAGATTAAGATTATATATTTTTTTAGGATTTAGGTACTTTATAATATTATTCAACTCTTCTGTTTTATCCTGTAAATTTGTGAAGCAGATGACTTGAAAATTATGATATAATTAAATTGAAATTTGAACGAGTAATTTTTTAGTGATTTAACTTTGTGTTTATAATAAGTTTGGAAGTTTTCGGTGCTTTGTTGATTTAAAAATGATATCAATTAATTTTAATCTAAAAACATTTTGTAATTGATAAACAATTTCAGAGTACTTGATTAAATATTACATCTAATTTATATTTTTGTAAAACCATTTTTAAGTACTATTTATCCCTAATTAAACCTACTAACGACAAACCTAAGCCTAACCTTATTTCATTTGACATTTTAAGAACTCGACAATTACTTGTTTGAGTTTTAATTTAGATTTTAGATACTTACCTGTCTACATAAAATTGTTCATAAAAATCATCTCTAACTGCTAAACAATATTAACTAATATATAGTAATTAACAATATATTTGTGTAGTATCATTTGTGATTTGTCAACATGCATATTTACTTATTAAATAATATTTAAAACATTCAAATTTCATAGAAATTCTTTTTTTTTGGTTTATCACTATTGAAGGTTTTATTATTTGACCATCCTAAATTTGTGTACTAATAACCTGGGATGTCGCTATGCTCACTTCTGTATCTAGGTACAGTAAATTTTTGCATAGTAAATTTGTGTAATGGATCAATAGATGTGTGAAATTTTAATTCAATGATAAATACCTAGTTGGGTTGCATACAAAAACGATTCTGAGCGGAGACTCGAGACTGCATCGTTATCATCTATTTCTAAGGATATTTTACAACTCATTTGACTAATGTGTTAATTAATATTCGATATCTTCAAAGCTCAATATCAAGAGCTTCTAATACAAGACCAACTATATTAAGGAACCTTATATTAAATTATCAAGCTATTTTAACTTACAAACAAAAATTGTATCATAAATAAATCAAAAATAAATTTTACTAGGTTATTACGGAGATTGCAGCGGTGGAGTTATTTCGTCAAAAATAAAATAAAAAAAATTCTAGGGCCGTATACAATGCACCTATATTGAATATAACATATAAGCCTGTGAACGGAATTTACCTTGAAGTGAACTACATGTATAAATGTATAATGTATATTGTTACAGTCATATAGTTTTGGGGTTGTTCCGTATTGTTGGTAATATTTACTATGGCGCAACTCGTCTGTCTGACCTACCCTTTGGATCGGCTAACTCGACAAAAAACTAAAACTAAAAAATCATTACCTTGCAACTGGCGGGATATAGTGTTGACTTTATATATTAGTCTAATACATACAATATAATATGTAGTATGTTGTACTATGTAGGTCTACTTATTAGTTATATACTTTACGGAAATATATTATATTGATAATTTTTACCTATATTATGTAATCGCAATTGCTTATAAGTAACTATAAGTCTAAGAGCTCTAAGCGATACGTCGGTAGGTTTGTACTGATACGTCTATTCATGATATAGCTTGGTAGGTACCTTGGTAACCTAACCTATACCTCGTACCTATATTATCTATATTGTACGATATAAACTTAGAATCTAGAAATATATATAGGTAGATACTATGTTATAAGTCCAAAATAAAGTATTATAAATATTAAATATTATACTAAAGGTATAACCGTATATTATGACAGGAGAATAAGTGCTTATATCACATTAAAAACAAGCAAGCTAAAATACCAAATACGATATACCTACACGGCTTTACCTATACATATAGGTATATTATAGGTACCTATAAGTATCAATATCCAAATTCATCGGCACGGATATTTTTAAATATTTTCTGAATATTATTATGTTTATACAGATGAGTGCCCCACTGCCCCCACCGTGATTTACCGTTTTATCATTTAACTTACAGAAAACATAATGTGGGTTAATATAATATAACCTGTACCTATATATCTTACCTAGGACATATTGGTACGTCTACTCCAGTATACCGGGTGATCCATTTAAATTGACACTTATTTTATTTTTTTATTGATAAAAAAACAACGCTTCGACGACAGAGGTTAATGGTACAGTAAAGTTATGTATTACTTACATTTTTTCTTAAACCATTTTTTTTTCGTAGTTCTTGGTATTTTAGGCATTCTGTTAAAATATGTTTAACTGATGTACGCTTTCCGCATGTGGTGCATGTTGGGGCGTCTTCTTTGGCCATTAGAAAGCCGTGTGTAAGTCTTACAGACACTTATTATTTGAAATACTATTAACGTTTTAAAAAAAATTGTTTTCATAATTAAAAAGCTTTAAAAATATATTTTTAGATTCTGAGTGAAACGATGAATGTATTGATTTTGCAGTGATGTGTGTTTTTTTTTTTTATTTTTTTTTTTATCTGTCATCACGTTTTAGGACAGTAAAACTGCTTGGATTTTCTTCAACAGTAGCTCTTCTGATAGGAAAGTGAATCTAGTTTGTACTTTGGGGGGTAAAAAGAGTCTCAGTAGTTTTCAAAAGCGGCGTGAAAAACAAAATAAAAATTATGGAAAAACGGGAATTTTTACACTAAAAACTGTTTTCGAAAAAATCGATTTTGGTTTTTGGTGCAACTCTTAAACAAATGACCGTAGGTACATGACATTTTAACTGAATGTTTATATTAGAATTTTATATACACGATAAAATTTTCAAAATGTTTTGATTTATTTTGAACTGTTTAGGCACATTTTCATTTTCCATTTTTTTTTTTTAGTTTTTTTTTCTAAAAATATCAATAAAATGTTATTTGTTGGTTGAAAAACCTTGATAATTTAATACAAGGCTCCTACTATATTGTTACAATGGCATTTGAAAAGTATTAAAAATCCTTAATCACAGTTTTTTTTTATAAGCATTTAAAGTTCAAAAATTGACAAAATATGGAGAAATCACGAAAATTAGAAAATTATTTTGAGTTAAAAATTCGTAAAAATTTTTCTTTTTAAATTTAAGATTTTAAAATTGAATACAAGATTCCTTATAAGATTATCTACCTTTATCAAAAAAAAAAAAAATGTCTATAAGAAAGTTAAATTAAATTTTTATGAGCGTTTGAAATTCAAATTTTTACAACATTGGATATTCACTCGATTTCTCATATAGCGATTTCTTTATTTTGCTGTAATTCATAAACGAATAACTGTAGATACATAAAAATTTCACTGAATGTTTATATTAGCATTTCCTATACACTGTACAATTTTGAAAATATTTCGACTCTTTTTGAGCTGTTTACGGACATTTTCAGTTTCCATTTTTTTTAGTTTTTTATTCTATAAATATCAATAAAGTTTTATCTGTTTGGCCAAAAACTGTAAAAATTTAATACAAGGTTCCTGATATATTGTTTTATAGTTACAATATCAGTTGAAAAATATTAAAAATACATATGCACAATTTTTTTTTATAAGCATTTAAAGATCGAATTTTGACAAAATGTATCAAATTTAAAATTGAATAATTATTTTGTAGTTAAAAATGTATAAAATGTTCAGCTTTTATATCTAAGGATTTAAAATTTAAAACAAGATTCCACGCAAGTAGTTGATTCTGTTACCAAAAAAACTAAAAAATATACAAGCGCAGTTTATTTTTATAGTCATTTTAAGTTTAAATATGGACGAAATTACATATTAAAATCAATATTAACGATTTTAGTTTTTTGTTGTAATTTAAAAATATTATTCGGGGATATATGAAACTAAAAAATCAAAAATCAAAATATTATGGCCCATCCATACAATCTACCATAGTATAATGAATAAGAAGTATGCTCTATGATAAGACTGTGCATATTTTTTTTATTACCATTGATATGTATATAATTTGTCTTAAACCTAGACTGACATAGTGACATACCGTCTCCGCTCAGAATCGTTTTTCTCATACAATGATATTATATCATTGAATTCAAATTTAATACCATCCATTATACCTACAGAGACCCACTTGTAATCTACTGTACAGCAGAGCACCTTTTTTAGTTTTAAATTGTTTTGATGACAACATGCATTTTAATTTATTATTCCAGTAAAGAATGTATTTTGGAGTTCTTCAATGTACCTATATAAAAATAAAATACTGGACAAGTTGTTTATATCTGCAGTTATAAGTATTTTAAGTTGAGATGAGCTGGGCGTAGTTAACCCACACCCATACAGTGTTGGTCCACTACTCCGCTTATCTAACTTTAAACACATATACTGGTAAAACACTTGTACAAAATTTAATTTTTATAGATCGATACTCCAAATTATATTTTGAATCGGAATATTAAATAATGAATCAATGAATCAATAATGAATATCATTCAAAAAACTCAAAAAATTGTATTGATAAAATAATAAAAAAATTGGGTAATCGTTTTTTAGAAATGTTGTTTTGTAACTATAACTACTTAAAAATATGTAAAAAAAAAATATTTTCAAAAACAAGTGTTTTCTGAAATATTGAGTGACTAATATACTAATACATATAATATCTATATCGAAATCGGATACCGTGATACCTAACCAGGATACGTGTAGGTCACAGGACATACGGTCAATAATAATAATTACCTATATATACCTACGCTTTATAGTATAACATTGTATGTATTATAGCCGTATGACAGCTGGTGCATATAATTACAGAATTGATTCTTTTTTAAAGCAGCGAATGAAGGAATTAATTCCATTATTTTTTAAAGGAATAGGAACGTGAATTAATTCCCTATCTTTAGGAATAGGAACTCAAAAAATGTAAGAAGAACTAAATTCTTCTTGGGAATGTGTTGTAAGACACATTTGGAAAGAAAAATGTAGTTGATCAAGTTTTTAATCTAATATTATCTTGTCTATAGACATATTTGAAATAATATATACACATCTGTACTTGAAATTAAAATATTTAGGACTTAAAATAAAATAATTCTATACATTTATACATATTTTAAACTAAGGTAAGAAGGAGCCCGATACTTTTTTAGAAGAACGAGGAAAATAATGAGTTCTTTTTTTATAGGAACGAATAAGTGAACGAGTTATTTTTAATATTAAATTAACGAAGAACTGAACGAATTCCTATTTATACTAAAATTAATTATTATAAAAGAAACGTTAACAACACGAGTATAACATTACTGTGATCGTTGATGAAATGTTTGAAAATCAACAAATTTAAAATTTTATTTCATTTCAAAACGAAAATAAAACTATAACACATAAAATCTTTAGCACAGTATATTTTTATGCACTAAAGTCTTTAATTCTATATTATAATATTATCGCGTAGCCGCGGCGTCAAAATTAGCAGTGATTTCCACCGTCGTCGTAGTAGCCGGTATAGCCCTATAGGTATGTAATACTAGCTATTATAGGTTTAGGTATTTATAAAATAACGTATAGGTATATCGTATATAATATATGGGACATAGCGTAATTGGAAAACGGACAACCGTATCACATAATAATAATAATAAAAGATATTTTTATATCAAGTATATATAAATAAGTAAATGTAATATTTTGCATTTGCAAAATTTGCAATGCTTTTCTTTTTTAGGTTTTTTAATTTTTTTTTTTTTAATGTCAACCCATATAATAGGTAATATAATCTATTTCCACGATCAGAAATTATTCTGAACCCGTGAAAAGTAAAAATCCATTTAGACATTTTTTTAATGTACTGCAATATTGTAGTAATAGGTCGTACAGGTACATCAAACGCTGTGCCTTTTTTTTTTTTTGGTAGACAACAATTGACCGACAATTACACGTTTAAAAAAATAAAAAAACAATACGTTCGCCCTGTATACGACCGTATTATAATATACACTACCTATATGTACAATATCGCGACGGCAGCTGCGGCGCGACCAGCGCACCAAACTTAAACGCGCCGTCGTCGTGTTCGGCGGTCTTCGCAGACGGTAGTCCCCGCCGCTCAGCAGCTGACATGGATCGGCTATTGATTGTAAGGCTCGCGCGGAACGCCGTTCTTCCGTTGGCTTACGTAATATTCACCGCCGCCGCGTTCGTGATCGCCGGCTACTTTTTGGCCCTAAAAACACAGGTCGGTAAATCATCATCATCATCATCATGTTTTTGTGATATATATATATGTTCGCATATATAGTGTAATATTATAATAGCCTGTATAGTACAACAATACCACCCACCCATACCTTTATAGTGATAATTTTGTTTGGCACCGAAGCATAGGTACCTGCCTACATTGACGGAGGAGTTGTCTGCGAAGACCAATTTTAATTGATAATATAACACCAATACACCATGTTATAACTGTTATAGGTAATGGGAAACTTTTACAACGCGATTTGCAAAGCATATTATATATTATAATATAATAGGTATTGCCATATAACAATATGTAGGACTGTAGGAGTATAATCTTAGTAACTCAATCTACGTAGGTCGTAAACCTAATACTTGTATAAATGTACAATATAATATTATTTTCTTAGTACGGCGGATGATAATAATATTGTGATGTCGTATATATTTTAATGTTTGATCATCGATGTCATTATCATCGGCGTCCGTCCTTCGGCTATACTTTAATTGTTTTCACCGCGATTTATCGTCAAAGCTCGCATATCATATCCCATAAAGGTGCTATACGCTCGTAATGAGTGTTGAGTATAATATTTTATTTATGTTTTTAGTTTTTGCGAAGAACTCATTGTAATATGTAGACATGTAGGTATAATAAAATAATAATATATTGAAATCGCTTTGTTATCTATATATATAATATATAAAAATATGTAATATACAATATATTATTATAATAATACATAATATACAATTATTAGTTGTCATAGTCATCATAGTAAAATAATCATTTCCATAATTAACGGCAACTCCTGGACGGTGTCTAAACATAATAATATTCCTTATTGAGAAATTAATTCACTGTTTAAACTTTGAACATCTAAAGTTGAATCGCTCGAGGGGTAAATTATTATACGTTCATCAGAGTACCCTATTTCCTACATAGGTGAACTCGTGAACTAGAAATAGTAAAATTATGTATTAATTTTACAACGTGTGTATACACGCAGGTGTGGATTTAAAAATGAAAAAAGAGGGGGGGCTAGATGAAAAAAAAATGTTGATTATAAATCACTCTTAAATGTCAATGAGCAATATAATTTAATATGTTTTAAGCATAATATAGTATTGCTCCTCTAACTTCTTTACAATACTTAGTTAATGAACTGAGAATTAAGGTAATCTCTGAAATATTATAAATACCTAAGGCCTAAAGAGTAAAGGGGAGAGGGCTTCAGCCTCCATAGCCCCCACCCCTTGTATCCGCGCCTGTGTGAGTGTTCGCATTTTACGAGTATACTCAATAGATTTTAATTCTCAGCAGTGCGACTGCGCGGCGATCTTTTGGCCTTACAAATTACAATTATGTTTTTATTCTCAAGCGGTAGAAAACTGAAACTGTTGTTGACAATTTGAACGCAGGTGAGAGAGGGGCACTTCAAAGAAATATTTTATTGAAAACCAATGTTAGCTTAACCATTGAAGGCTATTAACCATCGGATTTAACCAAACATTAAATATTTTTGATTAAAAAGTTTGTTCAAATTTTGAACTTCGAAATCGTTAATCGATTTAAATTATTTACCGTTTAATTCATTGTTTTCATATCTTAACGCAACGTCTGTGGTCTAATTTTTATCCCTTTTAATGTTTTATATTTTTCATAAATGTATAATATAATTTATAATACTAAATAAACTACAATGTTGTGCATAATAATTTAGTTGACATTTAAAACTCATCTGAGAAAGAATTTAAACTAGTAGTGCTAATATTAAGACCCTCTACAGCGCCCTTGTATACGATCTATACTATAGAGTATGACGCAATAATATGGAAATATGGGATTCTTATAATTTGAATTTGTGCAAGCAAACATAGAGAGTGCAGCGAAGGTTCTTGAGTTTTACTGCTTTTGTACTAAAGATTGAACATGTGCCACATGACTCCAGTACTTTCAGTCCCATGTGACTGCAGAACGGTCGAATCTAATGTAAAATTTTTTAGTAAGCAAGTAAATGGTGATATCGATGATTCCCATTTCCTCTTAAATTCCCTCAACTTCAAAATCCCATAATTTTTTCTATGGATAACTCTCTATTTCTTATCCATTTATTCACTAACTATGCTAACGAACCATCCTAACCCTTTGGTACAGTGGCGTACACAGCTATTTTCAATGGGGGGGGGCTTACATATAAAAAAATTATATGTATATATGTATATATAATACATTGATGAATCAAAACGATGTACATATAGTAATTATTTTGTAAATGAGTAATCGGCTCATTAGCAATGACTTAAGGTGAAATTAAAAATATTTTTACAATTCTCGATTATTATTTAAAAAATATATACCTATTACCTACAGGTAATTATTTAGTATAACTACAAATTTACACGCGTACATACAATATGTATATAATAATATATTATATACAATTCAATAAAAGATAGGTATAAAGAGAAATTTATTTTTACCATATTAATCATTTTTTTGTACCTAGGTCCTAGGTTGATAATATAATGTATTAAATATTTACCTGGTTCCTCCGAGTTAATGGTATCATGAATTAGTGAGTTAGAAAAATATTCGTTTATTCTTTTCATTTTTATTGTTTTATAAAATATTTAAACAGTAATTACAATCATAGATTAAATATATTTAATATAGTATATTTAATCTATGGTACAATTTACTAAACGTCCAAAGCGTCAGGAATTTGATTGAAAACTGAGAAATAGATTCTATACTATAGTATTAGCGATACTGCGATAGCTATTAAGGCATATTATATCGGATTACACGATTGTCGACCCTCATGTTTGTGTTTGAACAAATTTCCCAATAATTTCATTAATTTGTAACAAGTTATCAATAATATCTACAATATATTATAACAACAAACTGGGTTGCTTATAAGTTATAATATAATGGAGTATAATTTGGAATATAATATTTTTTTTAAATTGTCATCATTTTTATTATACATTTTTACGTTATTACGTAAACTGAAAAAATACTAAAGGGGGGGGGGGGGTTTGAACACCCAAACCCCCCCGTGTGTACGCCACTGCTTTGGTAGGATAACGATGGTTGCCAACTAGGATCAATCATGTTGGATGAATTAGTCTAGCTAAGGGAAGGTACTATATTATTATAATTTGTTATCAGTGATAAGTGTTCATGTGTTACCTAGTATATTTGAATTATTGTGTAAAAATTACCTTATAACTTTGGACTTTTGAAGGTATTTTTGAAAATAAATATAACTTTAAAGTATAGACGTATAGTACCTAATACCTATACGTTATGCAATTGTGATGCTATAAAATTGTATTTTCTTGTAAAATAGCTGCAAATTATTTGCTCATAAATTATAAATTCATGAATATTCAAATGATTATGAACAAGTACAAGTACCTCGCTAAGTTGTTAAAATTATCATGTTGTTGTATGATATGTCACACATTTTCCTTAATACGTTCGCTGCATAGATACCTATTAATTTTGTATACACATACCCTGACCAAAATTACGCATTTTTACATGTTATCGTGCGCGTGGGCCTAAAAATAATAAATTAGAGATACGAATTTCACACACATGTAAAATATACGCTGAAACCGCTGACGACAAAAAAAAAGATTAAAACTTAAATAAAACTAATAGAAAAACATGTAGAAATTATGCCTTACGATTTTAGACTTCATCCTTAGTGAACGTGTAAAAAGGTCATCACTCATCACTCATTAGTAAAATCATTTTTTTCGTCTACACGTCATAGTCGGCTGAATAATATAGGAAAATTTTTTTCCCGTATTTCAATAATTTAACCGTGATAATATTTTACATCAAGGCAGAAGGAATAAAGTGGCCAGTGCGGATAAAGTTATTTGAGTTTTCTTCGCTCGAAATTATGCGGAAACCGGGTGACTTATTACAACTTACTGATGTCATCACTATTATCAGTCAAATTATTTTTGGCTCGTTACTCTCGTTAGCGTTCTAATATTATTTTCTTGATTTTTTTTACTTGCTGTATTTACGGAAGCGATGAATGCTCAGCTTGATTACCCATAGATAAATAAATTGTTAGGATTATCAGATTATAACATACTGCAGGGATCCTCTAGTGTTGTTTGATCAAAATCTTCTAAGCTTACAAACGATGTTTGTTTGAACATATGCTTGAGACCGTGTAGATTAGATCCTAGACCGTAGATTTTTTAATGATAAAATTTCTGGCATAGTGGTCAGGTTATCCATATTCCACGACAACGATTTTTACTGTTCACTGTATATAGGTACATAATAAATTTTTATTTATTTCGTAGTAAACCAAATGGATACTATTGTAACATATAATTTGAGTTCAACTATAACATGTCTTATATTGAATCTTTACAGGGACTGGCCATTTTACCCGACCACATTGGGTAAAGTGGCAACTTTGTATTTTTTTGTATACCAAACATTTACATTTTAAATAAAGTTGCATATTAAATTTAAGTGGTTAAAGATCTATTGGTATATTCTTTTATCACTTTTTTGATAAGCTTTTTTTTATAAATATTTTGATTTTAAAGAAAGTTATTATAGTATTTAATTTTTTAGTTAATAATAAATAATAATTATTTATAACTTTATTCTTTTACCTCAAATAGTGAAATACGGAGAGAGCTCTTAACGTGTGTGAGACGAAGAAAAAATTACTTATGTGTGCAAGTTTTTCAATTCATTAGTTCAATTTTTATAATTGACTTATAATACATAATATATACTATATACTTATTTACTTTAAAATACTGCACTTACTATACGCGTTAATTTTTTGTATAGCTCATAACTTATACGTTATAACATTAATATTTAATATAGGACAAGGGCAGCTGCATTCACGTGTGATGTATTTGTCTTACAATTGTATACAAATTAAGTTTCCCAAAGTGGTCTATATAATCGAGCGCCTGCAGGTTCAACTATGATCACCAAGGGGTCGATGTCAACGAAAAAAAAAATTATGGTCTATGAGATATAAATAGGGGTATACACGAAGGTCAAATATAGTATTATAGTGAAAAGGGGTTTTAGCATGGTTGCCAATCTTATACAAAAATAAGAAACAGATCGCGGAAGTCAATAGTAGAATAGAATAATAGATATAATATTATAATGTTATAGGTACTTGACTAATTTGAAACCAAATATTGAACAATTACAAATTATAATTGAAGCATCAGGCTCATATGGCTCATCCATCCAATTATTGGTTTTGTATAATTATTTTATCTAAGAATGTTACAAGACTCATTTGCATATTCTGTCCTTTTAATAATTAAAAAAATGAAATTAATATTTAAAATGTAATTAATAAAGGTGTGACCTGGTATACAACATACCAAATTCGCGTTCATAAAAACTGCTAAACCAATGTTGTGCTTTAGGTAGCTTTAAAATAGAGTCGATACTCGATTGGTCTCTTATCAAACTTAAATAAAATAACAGTATTGAAGTTGGTTTTTAATGATAGTTTAATTTTTAGCGAGTCATACCGGCTTTATGTATGTTCATTGTTCAATGTTGTATACTTGTACATAAGATATTACATTATATTAAATGGCTCATAACGCGCTTAACATTTTTAATAGTTAGGTAGTTATCGTAAAATAGGTACCAACTTACAATTACAGATATAATGTGAATACCTTTAAATTTGATAATTATTGGTCAATTCACTATAGTATTCAAAATAACAACACAAAATGTTTCTTTATTCTGTTGAAGGAGTATAATATGATATTTCATATATTATGTTTCAGGTAGGTGAACGTTTGTAAAACGGGCACAGCACAGCAGATGAGCCAAATGTGGCATCCTCTTAATTTTGAATAAATAATAACTACTATCTTATTATGTACAATTTTCATGAAAAATGCATATCTCAATAATTAGTTGATTCTTTATATATTATTTTAGTTCCTCCGTACTCGTATAGTTACAAGGCTAAAATTAAAAATATTATTAACTAAAACATAAAGATAATTATCATAATAATTATAATTACATTTTGCCAAAAAGGTGGGCAAGTGAGTGTCGCTCTGCTTTACAGCAGGTTACAAGTGGGTCACTGTATAATGGATGATATTAAATTTGAATTCAACGATATCATATCATTGTATAAGAAAAACGATTCTGAGCGGAGACGGTATGTCAGTCTAGGTATAAGACATATTATATCATCTATGGTATTAACAAAAAATTGCCCTATAATAGGTACCTATAATAAATTCCAAATTAATCATATCACAATATCCATTAGGTACTTATAACGCGCTATACATCAACAAAAACCGTGATACTATCATAGATATATAATAGTACACTTTAGAAGTTTCAAGTACCCACGAATAATATTATTCAACCACAACAAAATAACTGAAATAGTTATTCTAGGTTTTTTAATATGTAATTTCGTCCAAATTTGAATTTAAAATGTCTGTAAAAAATAACTGTGTTCATATATTTTTTAGATTTTTTGGTTACAGTATGAACTATTTATGAGAACCTTTGTTTTAAATTTGCAATCCTTAGCTATAAAAACTGAACATTTTATAATTTCTTAATTACAATGATAGATAATTTTCGAGATTTTGATAAATTTTGTCGAAATTCGATCTTTAAATGCTTATAAAAAAAAATTGTGCCTATGTCTTTTTAATATTTTTCAATTGCTATTGTAACAATATATCAGGAGCCGTGTATTAAATTTTCATACTTTTTGGCCCAACAGATAAGACTTTATTGATATTTATAGAAAAAAAAACTATAAAAATTGAAAACTAAAAATGTCCGTAAACAGCTCAAAAAGAGTCAAAATATTTTCAAAATTGTACAGTGTATAGGAAATGCTATCATGAACATTCAGTGAAATGTTCATGTATCTACAGTTATTGGTTTTTGAATTGCAACAAAATAAGGAAATCGCTACATGAGAAATCGAGTGAATATCAAATGTTGTAAAAATTTAAATTTCAAACGCTTAAAAGGAACAATTTTTAGGAAATCCTAACTCAAAATAATTTGCACATTGTATTAAACTTCCTTAAAATACCATCTAGATTCACTTTCCTAGCAAAAAAGATATTGAATAACAAAGAATTTTTTATACATGTACATAAACACAAAAAAAAATTGCTCCATCAGGATCTAAATTATTTTGTATTACCTTTAACTTTGGACATGTTATGGTGTTATGGTGTTATAGTTGTTAGTCATCTTATAAATATTATGTATATTAAATTTGATTAGATTTTAAAATGAGTGGGGTCACAAATCACAATTTACTAATTCAAACTAGTGGTTTTTCATCGTTGACCATAGTAAAACTTTAAAATGTCCGTACACCGTATAATATAATATATTGTGTAGTTGAATACTTCAAAATTTACTTTCAGCATAATATAATTTTCTCTCAACTACTAATCGGATTTTACCATTAATTTGTAATTGGGTGAAAATCAGAATTATAAAATGTTTATTATTTTATTCAGATGTCTATCTAAAATTTAAATAAAAATAGGTTGTTTTTATATTATAACCTATTATTATACCAAAAAACGTTTGTTTTTATGTAATGTGCCTAATCAAAGTTCAAATTATAAGTATCTATAGTAATTTCGTATATATTTATTAGTCTCTACGGTATTTGAAAAACCATCCAGAATGAATTCCTATTATAACAAACAAAACATTTTTAAAAATCACCTCTGCTAATTACCTTCCAATTTATGATGAATAATTATAAATAATAATTATATTTATAATATGAAACTTTTTATATTTGTCTATACAATTTGATGTACACCATACTATCATTACAATAAAACTAAATAGTAAATTACTTAATTTTTTAATTACTAAAAGCTAAAAATATGATTTTCATTAAGGAACTTGATAATTAAATATATATAATATATTTATATACGGTATCCCGCTAACGAATCGCGGTAAAAAAAGTCCAAAGTAAATAAGTCCTAGGAAAAAAAGCTTGGCTAAAAATGTCTGAGGCATAAAAAGTCCGCCGTAGATAAGTCCTAAGCCTAAAAAGTCAGGAGTAAAAAAGTCCGGTATATTATATTATATACATAACAATATTTAAATTTAAAAAAAAAAATTCAATGATTATAATTATATACTCAGTATTATAACCTATATAAAAAAATCGAAATAATTATTACATTTACATACAAATAAAATATAATATATTTTTAAATAAAAACCAATGATTATAATAATTATGTACTCAGTATCATAACCTATATAAAAAAATCGAAATAATTATTACATACAAATAAAATATACATAATATAATATTATAATGACTGCTTAATCTAATTGAGTATTAACTATCTTGATATAAAATATAATATATTTTTAAATAAAAACCAATGATTATAATAATTATGTACTTGTTATCAATACCTATATAAAGAAAATCGAAATAATATATTAAATTTAGTATTAACTATCGCCCTACAAAATATAATATATTCAACCAAAAAAAATTCAATAATTATAATATTAAATTTATCTAGTATTATGACTTATCAGTTTAATTAACTAACTGTCGTCAAAAGAATAATATTTTTAAAAAAAATTAATTTTGTTAGCCAGTTTATCTTTAATCTTGGGTAGTAAAAATAATTTAGTTACAATAAAATTTATATTAATACTAATTGGAAGTTTGATTGTTCATCACATGGTATTTTTCCTTTTACCTAATTATATGTGCCTACCGGACTTTTTAGTTTTTTTCCTAGGACTTTTTACATCGGACTTTTTGGTAGTATACCCCCGTTAACTGAGGGAGATAGCGTCATTGGGTCTATGCGGTCGGATAGCTCATTGGTAGAGCAATCCCCCTGGCAAGCGAGAGAATCGGGTTCGATTCCCGGTTATAATCATATTTTAATATTATATTAAATATACAAATTTTTTTTTAGTCATCCATGTTGTTTTGTAAAGATGGAAACTTCAAGCAATTCCTTATTAATAAAGTACCTGTTGTCAGAGAAAAATATTTACCTTCAATTTGTGGGTTCAATGGATATGCGCATACAGTTCTCGCCACACTGTTTAGAGAAATCATTACACCTACAGTAGTTTATGAGAGGTAAGTCGTGTCATTCGTTTTATAATAATCAATAACTATATAAATCACAATTTGTTTATAAAAATAAATGTAAAATGTACAGAAAGGTTTGATTCCAAAAAAATGATTTAGATTGGAAAAATATTTTACTGTTATATAATTATATTTACCTAAACATTATAAATTATTATATAGGAGTTGGGAAATATAAATAATTGTTAGTGATGTTACAAAATTTGATTTTCAAGGATAACCAGAACCAGAACCAAACTTTTAAACAATTATTATTACGATAAAAATATGATGAAAATACGAATAAATGTAATACCTATTCAATAATTTCATTTTAATATTTATCATTCTCCATCATACTTTAAGATTTAACTAATTAAAGTTGGTCTTTGGTTCGGTTAGGTTGAATATTGAAAATGTTCAGATCATTTTTCGAACTATTTTATGCTATACCTTAACTGAACTGAACTTTTAGTGTTCGTCAGACAATTCGTAACATCACTAATTATTTTTCTAGGGCTCCCGGGAATTGGGCCACAATTAACCTTTTCGGGCCACTACAGATTTACATTTATAACAGTTAGACTCGGTGATTGGGACACTATTGAATTTTAATAAAATAATATTTAATATAATACGTAGTTACAATACCTAACACTCACGAATCTTTACTCGAAGCGACCGCGTGCCTTTTCAACATGTATTAAATTATCCAATATTAAATAATATAGTGACTGCCATCAAATGAAATGGATAAAAAATAGCCATAAGCGTAATTTACAAAGAATATAAAACATCGCTACAAATGCCATCGAGTCTTTTCATTCGCATTTCAAAAATAATTTCCTTATGTCACATCCTAATATTCATACATTTTTAAATGTTTTATTGGGAGTTCAATTAAAAGTTTATATTAAAATTAGAAGTTTAAGAACATTCATAGCCAGTAAACGAACTCAAATTAAATAAAAGAAAAAATTATATTCTTAATGAAATTAAAAAATACAAAGAAGTAAAAAACAGATTTGAATTTGTAAAATCTGTATCGTATTATTTAAAACAATAATTGTATTTTTATGTATTATAAAACAAATTAATAACTATTTGAATAATTTTAAAGACATTGTTGTCCGTTTTATATTACATTTTTGAAATCTGTATGATGATTTATTCTGTACCTAAAGAAGTTGGAAACTGAGTATATCCGTATAAACAGCTCAAAACAAATCAAAATATTTTGAAAATGTTATCGTGTATAGAAAATGCAATATAAACGAACAGTGAAAATTTCATGTATATAAGTTCATTTATTTTGGAGTTACACCAAAACCCAAAATCGATTTTTTGGAAAACCGATTTTGTGTAAAAATTCCCGTTTTTCCTTAATTTTTATGCTGTTTTTCCAGGCAATTTTAAAATATGACCTCCCGAATGCACCAGTAATATTCTCTTTCCCATCGAACAAGATACTGAAGTTGAAAATCGAAGCATTATTTCGACTACTTATCGTGTACACAGACACACAAAAAAAAAATAAAAAAAAAAAACACACATCATTGTAAAATCAATACATTCATCGTTCCACTCAGAATCTAAAATATAATTATTCCTAAACATGTTGTTATGTAATGGCTCAAAATTATTTTAAAGAAATATTTTCAAAAACGTTAATGTTTTCTGAAATAAGGAGTATCTTAAGTTAAATGGTTTACCCCTTATACATTTCCTTCAGGGAATCAGTATAATTGCAATGTGAATATTGTAAAGGAAACGAGAACGAAATATAAATATTATAATATATTATGATAAAATTGTTTTATCGTAAATCATTAAATATCTATCCAAACCTTCTAAACGTAATTTATAGAACTATTAATAATTCTTTTTTTGGGAAGGGAGATAATTTACATATTATGTCTGGAGTAAATTTTAATATTGTGGACTTTGTGGAAATTGGAAGCTATACAATTGATATACAAAGTGGTACACAATAGTAAAGTTAGTATGCAATACGAAAATGTATAAATAGTTTCGCAGATTTTTTGCAGTTTGATGTATGGGGAAGAATGATTGAGACCTATAGCTAGTTAAATGACTTGTGAAAGTTTAGGTGATTATGTACTATAATTTATACGTAAGTAAGTAAAGAAAACAAATCTATGATTTTTCAAGAGAAATCTAGTTGGTAGAACGAAGTAGTAAAAAGAGGAGTGGTTAAATAGAAAACCTACATTCAAATTAAATTCATAAAAAAAGTGTTAAGACTTGATAGGAACTAATAGAATAATAATGAATGGGCTTAAGTTATAGTTAGTTACAATAAATTAAAAACATCAAATAAATTATATAAAATAATGTTGGTTATTTAATTGTAATATGTTATAATAATATAAAACATAGATAATTGTTTATTGTGTTAAAACTTTAATTTTTATAGTCCTATTAAACTAAAATAATAAGCTTAAGGTATTTCTTAGATAATCTTTATATTTTAATAATAATAATGTTTTACTGTATACCTGACTCTATAGGGAAATTTTGACGTTAAACGACGGAGGTGAACTCGCTGTAGACTGGCTGTATCCAAAGTGTAAAGGTCCACAGAGTTTAGTAACTGTGCTCATACTCACTGGACTTACAGGTGATAGCCAATCTGAATATGTCAGAGAAACAGTAAACCAGCTGTTTGAAAAAGGCTATTGTTGTGTTGTTCTTAATTACAGAGGCAGAGGAGGTGTAAAACTGAAGGTAAAATAAAATGATAAGTAAAGTAAACGAATTAATATTGTGTGAAAATTATATTAATGTAAAAATACATTTAATTCATTAATATTAAATTAGATAAAGAAACACCAAGTCTAAATTCAAGGCCACCAAATAGGAAAAGACAGTTCATAAAAAATTATTAAAGTTTTTTTTTTTTAAGAATTTCTAATAATACCTAGTATAATAATTTATTGATATCCACTTCATAAATTTACATAGATTCTATAAAGGTCATTACAATAGTAATTTTTGCTAGAAATATCCTATCGTAAAAATTCCCCTTTAGAATATCTATTTAATAAGTTTTATACATTTTTAAGCAATTATTGCTTTTTTTCTTTTTATTTCATTTCATTAAATCAATCTTTGAGGGTACTGAAATTACACTCATTTTATACTTTTATATATTTATTGAAAAACTACATTTTTCTACATTAAAATTGAGTCATATTAATAAATTATAACATAATATTGTATACACAAATTACTTCAAGGCTTTAAAAGTCATATAGATTGCCTATACCCGACGCCGGACATGCCGAGTGTCGCCACTTATTAATCACTGTCAAGTACTAATACAATGTTAATTTAAAAGTGTTTACATTGTTAAACAAAAGTAGGTGCTTAACCTTTCATAGAAAACGCAGTATACTGCGCCCTTCTAAAGTTCAGATTAGGTTGTATTACCCTTAAAGCCTGTGCACTGCAGCCATGCGCTTCACACCAATCACACCAAAATATCAAATACTTCATGTCATTATTCCATCCTCTCCGAGACCCCTACCACGTATAATATAATATAGTTTAGAATTATTAGCGACTGAATTTCGACAGACTGCCCGGACGTACTCGGCGACCAACATCGAAGACCTGACAGAAGTGCTGAAACACGTCAAGTCCAAACGGCCAAACAGTCCGATCGCTGGCATAGGATTCTCAATGGGAGGGTAACATTGTCGTCGTCATCCTTGCCACGGCCACAGTAGTTGTAATACACACTATAACCGAGAACGAACGTACCGAAGGTACCAACCATGTTTGTTTCAATGACTGCAAAAGAGTTTCAAAAACACCGTTTTGATGTTTTTTTTTTGTTTTTTTTTTTTAATGATTTGATACGATTTTTACGATTTCTGTCGCATGTGCATGTGTGCTACTCTTTCATTCTCTGAAGACCCGGTGACATCTATGATTTAGGAGATCAAAATATTTTCGGAGTTTTTGTACAATGTGCCTACACTCTTCAACAATTGTGCTTGCAATACGATTCTTTTCCTGCATTCAGTGTTTTAGTATTTTATTTAAGTATACGAACTAATTATATAAACAAATTAAAATAATTCTATGTAAGTAAAACGTTTTAGTGCGTTAATTTAAAACGAAAAATTGATTTATAGTGAATGACAAAGGTACTTAAATAGTAACATTATAGTATATTTTATAATAGAAAAAAGAATAATCGATCATTGTAATATTTAAGAGGCGCTTAGACGCTGTTTGCCTTTATACTTACATTTATTATTTATTGTATTCATATTTGGCCATCACTCTTTATTGATTTCTATGTCTTTCGATAATAATATTTAGTTACGCGTGTTTTCGTGTCATATTACAGTTTAAAATTTACTAGGATAACCTATTTTAATTTTTAAGTAAGATACAACTTTTCATATATTTTAATTAATAAATCTATAATCAGTATCCACTTACCTAATCCTTACACTTTTACACGTTGCTTTAAATAAATATTTATGACCTATGAGCATGGAAAACAATGATTAATTGTACATAGGAATTTTTTAATCTTTTAATTTTTAAACCTTTATCCCTCTTTCGGCCGTTATTACTTATTATTACTTTAACTTTAAATTTAAACTTAACTATGATAACAGAAATTATCGATCTAGATATTTTTGTACAGAGAGATTGTTTTGGTTATGAACACAAATCATTTTGAGGGTGAAAATATCAGCGTTCCAATATAAAATGTTAGAACAATTTACAGCTATTATATAGGTATTATACATTTTTCAAAAGAATTAAAATATTTTTAAACGTTCACTGTTAAAAATACCAATTTGTACAATGGTTGTTGGATAAATGGAAGCATTTGCTTTAGTTTTTAAACTGAAACATTATGTTAATAATTAAAATACCTAACCAAAGTTCGTATAATATATTGACGCAGTAAAACGTTTTTTTTTTCTTAATAGAAATATTTTCTGCACGTGTTTGACATTATATTGGCAATTTTTTCTTAAACTAAATGATACTAGAAATTGGTTTGCATAAAAACCGGCAACCATGCCGATGACTGTTTCTAATTGGTACGTTCTTTCTTGAGCATATTGTGTCGTTAGTAACTTCCACCTTTGCATGAGTTGATATCATCATAATATTGTTACATATTGTATAATTTTATAACAGACATTACTGTGAACATTCTTGATGTCATCTGAACAAGAAAAAAATAAACACTTGGTCACAGGAATACTGATTTCAGTGCCGTGGAATGTTAAACAAGCATGTAAAAATGCAGAAGGTTCATGGCTCATGCGAAAAATGGGCAAAAACCTGTCCCACCATTTACGCAGTGTCGTCGTTAAGTGAGTAATTTTTGAAGTAGAATGTCCTATTTGGAGTAAAAAATTAGCCTATAGCATTCTTAGTACCCTAAATATATGGCCTTGAATGTGCATATCATGCAACTCATAGCAATAAATCCATTATCTAGATAGTACTCTATCTAGTATTACTTACCTGACTTAGGTAATTAAATATGATAATTAATTACAATATTTAATGAACGTTATTTCAGGAACAAAATGTCATTTTCAAACAAGACAACGACAGATCGGATTCGATAAACATATTAAACGGGTTATGACCACAATATTTATTGATGTAGAATTGTGTCCTTGGAAGTTAGCAATTTATATAAAATACTAGCTGATCCCGTGCACTTCGTCGCCCGTTAAATGGATCAACTCAATACTACCTACTCAAACTTTGTTCAATTCATTAACGTGTATGGTGTTCAAAATTTATCTTATCTTTCCCGTTGCCCTGAATAAAAATTCTGAATCGCAGCAGTACATTATCAGGTAGGCAATCTACCTGCGGTAGATCGCGGACCCCGTGCTGTTTGTACGGAAGTGTATGATTTAACTCTAAAGTATCAAAGTTATACCAAGTTTATTTTGATGTAATACTGTGGATTAATATAATAAATTTGGTTGCTCGTAAAAAATCGCAACTCTTAAAAAAATTATGATTGTTGAACTCCTTTTGGGTGTAATTTTCTGCGGTAAGTGCAACTCTGCCACCCTGGTAAGCATTGTTCAATAATTCGATTTGATGCAAGCTTGTACCTGATCTGCCCGAATAACCAATGGCAACCAATAAATAAATGCTAATTTCTAATGTAGACTGTAACCAATGGCAACTATCTATATATATAAAAATGAATGTATGTCAAACCATTGGACGGATCTGGCTGAAATTTGGCATACAGATAGCTATTATAATATAGACGTGCGCTAAGAAAGGATTTGCCAAAAATCTCTAATGTAGACTGTAACCAATGGCAACTATAAATAAATAAAAATAAAATTTCCAATTTCTATCGTGAATCTCAATGTCCCTGTTTCAGCACCTATTTAAAATGCGAATTTTGGCAAATCCTTTCTTAGCGCACGTCTATATTATAATAGAAAAAATTTCAGCCAGATCCGTCCAATGGTTTGAGCTGTGCGTTGATAGCAGTCAATCAGCTTACTGTTTTTTATATACAGATATGGTTGCCATGGTAATATGGACACACACACACACACACACACACACACACTGACATACATTCATTTTTATATATATAGATTGATATGAAATCTTGGTAACCTTAGTAACCATGGCAACCTTGGTAACCATGGTAACATGGACACACAGACACACAGACACACTGACACACTGACATACATTCATTTTTATATATATAGATAAAATATCAACACTATAATATTAAGTGTAAAAATCATGATCAATAATAATACTAATAATGTACTATGTAAAACAAGAATAAATTATCACATTAAAAATAAATTCAATATTTTAATGCGTTCCTGTGGTATTTAAGTATTATACTACTCTAACCTAAAATTATAATTTTAAATAAGGTTCTATGACTCTACGTATATAATATAACTAGCTGATCCCGTGCACTTCGTTGTCCGTTAAATGTATCAACTCTATAATATGACTCAAACTTTGTTCAATTCGTTATTTAATATTCGGTGTACGGTGTTCAAAATTTATCTTATCTTTTCCATTGCCCGGAAACAAAAATTCTGAATCGCAGCAGTACATTATCAGGTAGATCGCGGTAGATCGCGGACCCCGTGCTGTTTGTACATAAGTGTATGATTTAACTCTTAAGTATCAAAGTTATACCAAGTTTGTCGTTTTTACTTAATTCCACCTACGGTTGATTAAAATAATCAATTTATTTAATCCCATTAAATATAATTTATATTTAAAAAGTAAAGCAAATATTTTTTTTTTGTATTATTATTATTAAAATAGCTTAAAAACCCATGGCAACCATTTATAAACAAAAATGTCCATCTGAAATCTCAAAATTCCCGTTTGAGCACCTCCCGAGGCTGGTCCTCTCCCTTTTTAAATTATCAAATGTTTTAAGTTGGATCAAAATACACACAGTGTAAAAATTTCATCAAGATCGGTCCAGTAGTTTTTACGTGAAAGAGTAACAAAGTCACAAACTTTCGAGTTTATAATATTAATCAAATTATCTCACTCATTATTTCATAAAATAACGTTTTAAAAATGTTTCGTTTACATAATTTTAAACCGTTACAAAACAACATTTTTGAAAAATCAATTTTTTTAACGTTTTAATTTTTGAAGTATTATTCTTTTTTAAATGACAACATTCTTTTTAATTTCACATTCAAATACAAAATATTATTTGAAGTATTCGATCCATAAAAATCATATTTAGGACAAGTCGTTTTACTCGTTTACTACCTAAAGTATAAGTGTATATAAGTGTTTAAAGTATAGATGGGCGGTGACGCGTATTGTTGTGGACCAATAATTATCGGGGTACCTCTGTACCTTGCTCAGCTCGTCTAAACGTTCAATATCTATAACTCATAAGCTACTCGTCTTAGATTCGATGGTTTTTGAAATAATTATGAGTGTCTTATGCACCTATAAATATCACCCAGTATAGTTGTATACACTTATTGATTATTACAACGCTGTTCAGTGTGCTGTGTCCTAATATTGTTCTAAATATGCATCATATTTCAGTAGCGTTACCTAAAATAATCTAAGAGGGGGGGGTATAACATTTTTAATGAACATTAAGTATACACATATTATTAGATATGCCATATATACATGTTATATTGTGTACAAAATTTGGTCTCCGGGAGCATATGACCCCTATATCCCCCCTAAAGCATATTTACACGTTAAAGCATTAGTTTTAACGTCATGCAAATTATATTTAAATTAAAAATTAAAATATTATGTTGGGTAATTGCAGTGTAACACTATCCGAGAGTTCGACACTGCCTACACCATTAAAATATTCAACTACACCAATGTGTATCACTACTATGAGGATGCGACACTGAGCAACAAACTGCACCTGATCAACGTACCATGTCTGTGTTTAAGTGCTGCGGACGATCCTTTTCTTTATTTTAGAGGTATGATATGTATAAGCAAGTAATAAAAATACAAGGGGGTACCTGTTAGTTTTCGTCCTTGTACATCAAACCCCGTGGCTCGACGACGATTTATTTTGAAGGCTGTACTCTTCTACCCACCTTCCAACTTGTGATTAACTAAATTGGAATGATCGATATAAATTACTGTAATTGATCTAAATAACTCGACCTAAAAATCACCATTCACAAAAGATTAAAACATTATATCTTATAACTAGCTGATTCTGCACAATGTTTCCAATTAAATAATGCCAGTGGATTTACCTAGTCTTAAATGTAATAACTACACAAAACACTGTAATTTGGGTGATTTTTACCAAATATAAAATACAGATCTAAAATTATAATAAAAATATTTATATTTATATTTTATTGTCTTATTTTATTTTAACCTTCAAGTGATAACCCTTTACAAATCAAAAAATATTCGTTTTTCATTAGCAAACAAATCCCTGCTTTAGCTACCCTTTAAGCTACAAAATTAAAAAAATTGGCTGCGAGTTGCACATTTTCGGGTATAGGTTTAGGTACCTATATTTCCAAATAAGAACTATGAGTGTGATACACTTGGCTGAGGATCACTCTCTCACACACACATAAACATTATATCTGTACATAATATAATTTTTATTTTTTTTTGTTTCCTGCCCGTAAAACAAAATATTCTCGATCTCTCTGTCTTTCGCTGCTTTTCTTTAATTCAATATATAAGTTCTTGGGTTTACCTTTTTACATCCCTCCTCACAAAATATCCCGGACCTCCCTAGTGGTAGTTTTCCTAATGAGACTCTTCGATTACTATTTTTATCACTGAATCATTATTTCACTAAGTATGTCCAGTCTACGTCAGTCTTCATTTTGTGATTTCCTTCGTGATACATGGCCGTTGGAAAAGAGTTCAGCATTGTTTAGTTTGTTCTTTTCACCGCTTAATGCTCATCAAAAAAACCGTCAAGGAATCATTGAGTCAAACGATAAAAAAGAGCCACATTTCCCAAATATGGAGGGGACCCACCGGGAAATTCCCGGTTTCCTGGTAGGCCTATCCACACGTGTAGGATGAGCCTCAGCATATGGTCTCCTGTCAATTATATAAATGTATGTGTATTTTAATGTTTAGATATGATTCTGGTTTTTAACAAGAGGGGTCAAACTCCAAAATAGTATTTATTTGCCTTTTGCAGGTATTCTATTTAACACCTCTGTTTTTAGTTCATCTCCTGTTTAAACAATAGAATAGGTAATAATATTATTTCCCAAAATAATATTTCAAAGATATTTATGGGAAAAAAAGTTATTGACGAACACTCACTACTTAGGTATAATACTTCGTTAGCGAGACACTCCCATATATTTATTTAATTTTAAATTACCCCTAGGGCCTCAGTAGTAACGAAGGGGGGAATTTACAGACAATTATTGACATAATAAGGATTAAGTACATAATACACAGTTAACATATTATGACATTAGGCACATTTATTAATTAATTACACATATTATCATATTATTAAGACACGAACTTATTGTGATATATTTTCTATTATAGACATACCCGTGAACGAAGCTGACAATCACCGAAATTTGGCTATATTGGTGACTTCCGGGGGTGGTCACGTGGGTTACCTGGACACTTTTTGGCCGTTCACGAACAAAAACTTTATGTTAAAGCTCATCCAACAATATTTCGACGCGATTATGGTAGACAAGAATTATGAAAAATTTGTTAGCCTTTAAACAAAAAAATTTTACTATTTATTACAATATAATACATCATAAATTTTATATAGTGTTGTTTGTAAATGACAAAAAAAAAGGCGCATACGACTGATGATAATCGTTTCGGGTAGAATTAGTGTCGTTAAATATTGCTATTTATTTAAACTATTTTGTTATATGAATTTTTAATCGAATAATGTCATTAAGGCATTTTAAGTGTAGTTTAAAATTAAGAACATAAATTTATTACTTTGTTATATTATTATTAATACATTAAATATGAATCAAGGGTAAAAGTAAAGCTACAATAATTGAACGAAATTCAAAATTGATAAATTATAAGAATATTATATAATATATTATATATTTGAATGAAGGAATAACATTATATT